GTAAAATTGCAAGAATAGTCACAGCTTGGAATATTATAAACTACGTCATAAACGCTCACAGGTGTCCAGTCGTTCTTTCGTATGCACAACCCTCAAATACACTTTAGAAACCGCACGATGGACGCCAAATCCTGCGGCCATGTATCCATACTTTAGTTGTTGCCAAAACGTGGTTGAATCTCTCCCCTTTGTTTCTTTTCAACGCGCATTTGTGTTAGTTTTTGGGTCCGCGAATAAAATTTACTGTTCTGTCTTTGACGGCTTGAGATCCTGTGATTGATAAAAGCAACGACAACGGATGCAGGAAGTGGCCTTTCTCAAGGTCATTAACTCGCAGCCAAAATATTGGTCGGGCAACATGAATGAGGCAACGCACAAAATGGTATTTCTATGCTTTAGAAAATACCTTAATACTCAGTTGATTTCTGTGATTTTTAATTGCTCCTTATTGTAATAATACCATAGATCGCTAAATAATTTTCTATATATTGCGGTGCACAATATTGGCAGAGTCAAGCTTTTTCATACGAGATTTTTGAGAAATATGGGTTAAATGCCGGAAACCGGGAGTTAAAAATCCAAAGAGAAACATTATGCCGAAAAATTTCTCCTTTACTGCTAGTATGTTCCCATTTTTGCATTTACTGATTATATGACATATTAGAAAAAAAACATTTTAAATTTTTTTCACACCTGTTACATCTTCTGAGCGTCGTATGGTCGTATAATGAAAATGTATAGTTATATTTATCTCAGATAATTTAGTTTCAAGGTTAGGTGCTTACATTTTAAGCGGTACGGCTTTATATAAGTTAAATCGGTGCAGCATGTAAGAAGAGTATCCAAATTCACCTCTTGTAGGCCAACATGGATTGAGTACTCCCAAGAAACCGTAAGATATTACAAGTTATTTTTAGCCTTTATTTCGGCACAGATTTTATTTGCCATAGGTTTATATTTGCTTGTTATCTACAAAATTGTTTGTTTCCCCTCTAAAGTAATGCGATTTTCTTAATGGTTTGTTCCGCAGTTCGCCCAGCATATACCACAATTAATCATACGAACATTTTTGATTCACTTTTCTATTTCTTTTTGAACTGAAGAAAAGAGCATGCTGTTGGATATTTCTTGAAATCTGTCCGATTGCGTTTCTGACACAATAAGTTTGGGTTTAGACTCGTGTTAGATAAAATCCATTAAATTCAGGTGGTGTGGATAGAGAAATCTGCAAGTTAAACTAAATTCGCTCAAAGCGATCAAAAGCGATCATTGATGGAAAAACAGACGAATAAAGAATGTCGGTCTTACTTTGGCAACGAACTCTTGTTAATGCTCACACCAAACAGACATGAATCAAAGTGTTTGATAGTTCTCTCGTCCATACGTTCCTCGAGTATGTAGATGCAAATTACGAAGACATACGCGAATGGCGCAAATAATTATTAAAATTCAAAAGCCCATGATATCAGAGTTTCAATTGCTTGTGTGTTCCTTCTTGTGAAAAATTGAAGCATAACGTTTATGTGAAGGCAAAATAATGTTTGATTAATAAAGTAATTAATTCCAAGCGTTAATTTCGTCAAAATGAGAGCAAATACTTTCTATAATTACCAAGTGAAATCTATAGCTTAAACATTACATCCAATGATAGAAACTCGAGAAGTGATTTTGAATTTACTGGTTCCAGAACGACGGAAACAATAGTTGTAATATGTACGTGGAATTGA